GTGTGTGTGTGCTTTTTTTACCCATGTAAATGACAGTTCAGAAACATCTACGAATACAAGTTTCTGTACTTTGGTATCAATATAAGTAATGTATGTTTTGAATTTGAGATCACATACACAGACCATGTGTGTGTATGTTCATGTATGTGTGTAACTTTGTATTCGGTTATAGACAGATACGTATAGAAATAACTATATTTTTATAACTTGCGTAAACTCTTTAAATATAGAGTACCTAAAGCTAAAATAACAAACGATTCCTGGCTATTACATTACCCATCCAATTTTCCCATTATCATTGTACTTAATAAGCTTTTTTATTTGTTTACTCATTTACAGTAATTGTAAATATTATTGTAGAAATAAAACAAAATGTCCACTACAGGGAAATTGCAGAGAGAAAAACATTATATACAAAGTGACAGTAAAGGAAAACCTTTAGGTGGAGAAGATTAAAATCAGAACACAATACATAAAATATGTAAGTAAAGATATGCAAACCATTTTGCTATTATTCAAATATGAAAGATAAAAATAACAGCATATTGTCAAAATATATAAGGGAACTAAAAATGAAAGATAAAACACCAGGAGTAGAATGGTATATAAGAAGAGATATTGTAATCTGTGTGTCGAGAAGAAACTAAAAATTATAAATTAAAAAATGTGAATAGTTTAATAAACAAAAGGAATTAAATTATTTTAAATTCTCATTACTCTGATACAATCCTTTTGAAAAACATGGAAAGAATAATAGATCTTGAGGTGCATCCAAAATAAACAAACACCCATTTTAAAAAATTACTATGCATGAAAAAGGCTGTAAATGGGTAACTAAAAAAAAAAAAAAAAAAAAAAAATAATAATGTGTATTAGAAAACTCTTAAAATTATTTAAAATTGAACATTCCTATATACATAAGAAAAGGAATATACATACTATATGATAGATGGAATGGCAATTGCGAGGTAGTGTAGCGGTTACCAGCAATGCAAGAAACATTTAAGCAAGTTTGAATACCATTACTTGTCTTCACTTTGCTGTTTGGCTGTTTGAGGAAAAGCATGATTCTGTCCTATTACGAAATATATTGACAAAAAAAAAAAAAAAGAAAATAAATAAATAAAATAAAGCCTCATTACTTGAATTTTTATGACAGTTGTCAGATGAATGAACATTTAGGTAAACCATAATTCCACAATTAGTTTTACACTTATTGTTAACTATGTCAGGGGACAGTCAATATATATATATATATATATATATATATATATATATATATATTAACATGAGCAAATAAACTGAAAATTCAGACCTGATCAGTGTAAAAAACAAGAAAAGCCTGTGCATAAACTCTGTGGAAATGTTCAGTGTTCAATCAAGAAAATCAAAAACAGAAACACAATCCAGAATGGAGCAGGAATACATTCCAAAGCAGAAGAAACAAGACTTCATTGTAACTGAGAGTTTTTTTTTTTTTACAATAATATTCACCCTGTACAAGGCCCAAGAGCCACTCGATGTAGAAAGTTAAAGAGTAAGAGGTGCCACATAAGCAAGGTGATAATGCCACTAAGATGCAAGGGGAGGGGACATTGGAAGTGAAGGAGAAAGAAAAAACTTTATAGAGAACTGGAAAACCAATCCTAATCAAGGAAAGGGATAAATGTCTGCACCTGTTCACCTGGAAGGAGTTGTGTTTCATGTACAAAGAAATCCTCAGATGGTTCAAAGCTTTGTATGTGAAACTGTCAGTCATGGTGAGGTCCTTTATCTCATTGTTTTTGGAATATAGATAGATGAAAACTTTTCTAAAATGTAGTAAATAAAATGCAGATTTTCCTGCAGATCTTCGTGCACTAAAAATTCTGATTCATAATGTTTAAAGATATGCGCACGAAACAACAATAGCAGAAAGGTTTGGATTCTTATTTACATTTTAGAAAAGTTTAAATTGCTATGTTTTGAAAGTACATTGAGCACTTTTTTCTTGCTTTTTTTTTTTTTTTTTATTAGTGTAACCATTTATTTGTGAACAGCAAGCACTTCACTTGCAGTCTTTTTGACAAATTTACATATAACAAGCAGATTTAGAAAGAAAAGTTAAGATTGAAAGTATTTCTAACATCTTAAATTTATAATATTTGTTTTGAATTTCTTCAATGAAGCATTGTTAATTTTCTTGGTAGAGGTGGGGGGTCCTAATGCTTTAATCTTAATATCAGATATTTTTCTTATGGTAACTGATCACCATTTGATGCTCATTTGTAAGCAGTGTTGATCAGAAACAAAGAATCAACATCCTTTTATTTTTTAGCCCAGGAAAATTCGTAATGCTCAAAATAGAAACTTCCACTGGACAAATTATTCCATTGGATTTGCCTTCATCTTGTTACCATGAAATCTAAGAATTTTTGTATGCACCATATTTTCTAGTTGCTTAATTCTAAAGAAAAGATTCATAAAGCAGGAAAAAAATTAAAATAATATAAAATCTGTAAGAGAAATGTCTACCTTTTCCTCTGTTTTAATGTAATAGATGTCTTACTAATTAGGCCACAGGAACCATTGGTGGCATCTTTCAATTAAAACTGATATAGTGGCATTTTATATTTATATAAACAATTTACTAATGGCTGGAGGAGGATGAACTGTGAGTTGTGGTCAAAAGCAAATTAAGTAAGAAATACCATATTTGAGGGTATATGAAAAAAAAAATCATTTTGTGTGTTTTATATGTAAAGCTGATGCTTCCTATAGGTTAAATATATCCCCCAACCTCTGCCACCAAAAGCAATAATTTTTTACTTCAGATGCTCACTTCAATATGACTAGATTCTATAATGATATTACTCAAATGACATACTGATGCAGTCAATGGAAACTGTTCTGGAGGTCTACAGAATTTGGTATGAATTCCAATTATTTCTAATTGCCTTTTCAATTTTCTAGCTGGTGTTCCAACTGTTACTACAGGAATTAGTTCTAGTCATGTTCAGGGATTTTTAAGCTCTCAAGCTAGATCCTGGTATTTTTCTATCTTTTCAGTTTCTTTGGAATCCACTCTTGTATCATATGAAACAGCAAAGTCAATAATTAGACACTTGCCATTCTTCCTCTATTTATAACAATAAGCTTGAATCATGGTGCTTTGTTGGCATGATTTGTCTGGACTGAGAAATCCCTTTAGATCTTGTTTATGATTGCAAAATGACAAACTTTGATAAAAAGTGATTGAAATTATGAAAGAAATAGCAGCTGAAAATGAATGAAAATTGTCAATGCTTCATCTAGGGAATTCAAATACTATTACTTCTTGTATGGGCATTTTGTCTGATATATTTCAATTTCTCAAGGGATCCTTCAGTTTGGCAGTGTTCAGAGAGATTAGAATCAACAGCCTTTTATTTTTGAGCCCTGAAAAATTCAAATTCATAAAAACAAGTAGAATTTCCAGTGGAAGGATGAAGAGTCAAATTATTCCACTCGGTTTTTGCTTCATCTCTTGACCATGAGATCTTTAAGAAGTTTTGTATGCAACAGGTTTCTTAGTTGTTTGATTCTGAAGAAAAGATTTATGAAAGGAGGAAAAAATATTAAACGAATATAAAATCTGAAAGAAAATGTCTACCAATTCAATTTACTGCCATTAGGTTAACATTGTCCATTTTTTTTTAGTGCACCATTTATTGGCAATCTTATTTTTATTTTAAACAGTTCTTATATTTAGTTCTGGTTCAACCAGCACAATTCAGTGTAGACATAGAAACAAAGAATTTCATTGCTTTTAAAAAAAAAATAAATAAAATAAAATAAAGATTTTACATATAACTAACTTAATCATTTTGTAAATAGAAATGCCTAATTTATTAATATATATTAAACCAATATTAAATTAAATATTTAAATATATAGGAATTAATAATTTATTAATAGATATCAAAAAAATGATTAAATTAAACATTTTGTGATCTGGAATGCCAAATTTATTAAAAAATATTATTTAAAACAAAATAAAAAAAACAAAACAAAATTTATTAGTATATAAATAATATTATAAATATATTATCAATTTTATAAATAATAAACATTTTATAAATAAGGAGGCCTCATAACAAAAACTGTTGGTATCACAATAAGCAAACCAAAAAAGGAGTGTGAAAAATGTGTACTTTCAATATATGAGGCATTATTGGAAAGTTCCCATATTGTATGTGCTGTAATTGCATTGTTCACCGGAAATATGCATACAGCAAATACTCATTGGTACCCACCCTATCAAACCAATCTACCAATTGGCTTTGTGCTATGTTGTATAAGTCAGTTATGCAAAGTTCTGAAATACCATATCAAAATGGCTCTAATGGATTCAAGCAACATGCCTGCATCAAATCTGCTACTCAGATCCTGAAAATGTTTCATTAAGCTTTTTGACAAACATTCTTTAGCACAGGTTTTTGAGCAGCATGTGTGCCTCATGGCTGGTTGAGTATCAGTTAGACATTCAGAGTGACCAATCACAAATAAAGATGTTGGGGAACAAAAAAAAAAAAATAAATCATCAACTCATCCATGAAGATCATAACTGAACAACTCCCTCACATGATTGGAATGATGTTCTGGGGTTCAGCCAAGAGATTCTAGTCTGGAAAATTTTCTGACCCCCACATTTTGTATTACACAAAAGGGTACACATTTTTGGTTAACTGATTACAAAATTTTACAGAAATATAAAAGGATAGTATATAAAAAAAAAAATTTCTTAAATTCTTTTCAAACCAAAAATAATAAATAAAATAGTTTATTTTTATACTTATGTATATTCAACTATTTATGTTTGTGACTAATTCTCTATACTTAAATGTTTAAATAGTATAAAATTCTATGTTTGGGTACCAATGGAAGTGTGAGTGTATGTATATGTATGTGAGAATAATTCTGTCTGTAGTAAAAGGGTCAGACTCTTAAATGGAACATACAACTGTAAGCTTGTCACAACACTATGAAACTGAGATTGTGCTGATGGGTGCATTGTTCTGTGACGATGCAATTGATGCGATATCGTCAAAATTAATGCTGCTAGCAACACTTGGGGAGGTAGCCAGTTCAGTTCCTCTATCCTCCATTGCTTGGTAATCCACATTTATCTTAGCATCAAGGAATTTGATGCCCCTGTAAAAACAGAAAGAGAAAAAAAAAAAACTATAGAGTAAGTAATTGTCCATGGTTAAATATAATTGATAGAAATGCTCAACAAACAGAATTGACAAAGTTTGCAAAAAACAATAACAAAAGGAAAGAACATGGTAACAGTAATACTAAACATATATATATATATAAATAAAACAGACTATCATTATTATTTTGTCCGTATATTGTTTAATATATTGAAATGTAATTGTCATTTTTAATAATGGCTTATGTAAACCGAAAGCTTAGATAGGATTAAAAAACATGTATCAATATGGTGTTTTTCTTTCATCTTTCAATGATAATGTTATTAAGCTTATCAGACAATATGAAAGGAATTTACTTAAAATAAATAGACAAAACTTGTCTATATTATTTAATGAAACATGCATCAATATATGTGTGTGTGTGTGTGTGTGTGTATAAAACAGGCCTGAGTGTAAGCATAAAACAGCCTGTCACCTCTGAGTGTTGACCTCAATGTCCATTTTTATATTTACATATGCTCTATTTCCAATATTGAGCACTTTAACCCATATAGCATACCTAAATTTTTTTTTATTTTTTTATATTGGGTTGGTGCATAATTATCAGGCGTTTTTTAAACAATATTTATTGTGAAAAAAATAAACACAACAGTTCAACAATAAATTTTTTTAAATGATTATTCTGGAGTGTATGATTATTGACATGCATTTTTATAACCTGAAAATAAAATAATATTTTTATAAAAAAAAGTAAACAAAACAGCAATTTTTATTAAATAACTCGCCTACAAAAACGCCTGATAATTACACACCAACCTATATATATATATATTATAATAAAAAGAAAGAACAGTAAGATATATAATCCGGTGTTCTTATTGATATTTTTATTTTTACAAAACAGTGCTCAATGTAAATTTACAGTGCATAAATATTATAAATTAACTGATTTAAAATATGGTTTCTTTGCTATGCAGGAATTACCATGTTTCAAAAACTGAAGTTAAAAACTTCAAATTTAATTATATAATTAAATTAAAAGCATTAGTTCTATTTCATCTTCAAGTGAATTTTGGAATAACTTATTTTTAAATTTACTGAATTTTGAACACACATACAATTCATAATTTTTTTGTTTCCAAGGATACAGAGAAATCCAATCATTTAGACAGGGGTGGTAGCGTGTTCATTTTTATTAACTATTGTTACATCAATTATGAGTTACATTCAAAAAAAGAGGTTAAGTTTAGGGAGGGTAGGGGTGCATTTTTCAACAAATTTTGACATCCGTTAAATGCATGTCGTCTGTGTGTGCGTGTTTTTTTTTTTTTTTTTTTTTTTAAAAAAAATCAATGACAAAAACTTTTTCGGCATTTTTTTTCTGTTAAATTCATACTTGTATACTTAAAGATTCTTTCTAAAAGGGGTGTTTGGGTTAGAATATGATATATTGAACTACAATTTTAAAATATTATTTTTACTCTTAATTACTAATAGACTATATTTCTTTTTAAATCAAATAAATGTAATAGAATTACTTAAATTATTATTACATATCAAATATAAGTGTATATTACCAGCTCCCATTTTTTATTTTTATTTTATTTTTTTAAATATTATTTACTATATATATATATATATATATATATATATATATATATATATATATATATATGTGTGTGTGTGTGTGTAAAAGACAAAACTAGATAAAGCAACAGTAATAAGGAAAAAAAGTTCACAAAGTGGTGTTAACATGCAAAAGGGATACAGACAAGTGGTTGCAGAGTTATGACATCAAGACAAGAAAGAACAAAAATATGGAGGTGGTCTATATTTTTGGCTAGGAGGAAATCCCAGCATGCAACTGTATGATTTGTCTATAAATTTGTGGAGTGGGGGGGGGGTGCAGGCGTTCCACCCAGGATTGGAACTAACAACAACAATTTTGCTTAGAATATTGGGAGAAAAAAAAAAGTCCCTAATTGTGAATGCATTTTGTGCAAGCAAGAAATGTGTGTGTGTGTAGGCATTTGAAGAATAATTCAAAGGAAAACATAACCTCAAAGATGGTATTAAAAATGTTTTTTGAGATAAGGAATTATTATATGCTTCGTTATTCGAACTAGCATTTGCATCTTGGGTGTTATACTTACAACATTTTGGCTGTTGTACCACCTTGTCTACTCCAGTTGTTTTCATACTTCTTGGAATTTCAAAACAAAAACTTTATTCAATCCATGGGATAGATTGTTCTCTTTCTGCTTTCTATGTTTATGGGAGATAACTCCTTCTATCAGTTAATACTCACCTTTGTGCTGCTTGTCAGTTTCTTCTACTGAAACAGAGTATGTGACTAACAAACCTAGGGACTGAACTCACAACTTCCGGGACATTAGATCTGTTTTAATCCACTAGGCCATGGGTATTCTGAAGCCATAATCCTGAGGTCTGTATGTGGATTGAATAAAGAGTTTAAGCTCAAAATTCTGAGAAAGTTAGCAAGTACAATAACAGACACTTGACTGGAGAGTGCAATGGGCAAAAAAATTGTGAATATACCCATGGGGAGTTTGCTGGTCTGAATAGCCAAGTAGATTAAAAAAAAAAAAAAAGAATTTTGGTAATATATTTGATTAACAAATGTGAGTGAATGTGGAGAGTGCAAATGATATTTCAATTATCCACATGACCCAGAGGTCATCATGAAACCTAACCCTGCAGCACATACTCATGTAATAAAAGCAGCTGTTTTACTCTATGTAAAAATTTATAAGCAAATAAAAAGGTTTTAACTCTCAAATTATGCAAGAAATTTTGTTAAACTGCAATGTGACAAAGGTCACATTCACACTAAATTGGAATTTAGTCAAAGTTTCTTTAATTGGTGAACCTACTGATGTTAACTTGGATAAAACTTTCAAAACCAAAGAACTTTTAATTAATCACCTAGAAGATTTCATGCGAGTCTTTTGACTTAAGAACTAAGCTTTTTTGCTAATATTCAGTTTTGATAAAACAAAAAAAAATTACTTCATTTGTGGAAATGTACTAAAAACTTCAGTAATTTGCTCTTTAATTTCAAAAGAGAAAAATTTGTGTAACAAAGAAATTAGTTTTTGTTGGAATATTACACATATGAAAAAGTCTCCAACGTTTAGTTTTTTTGAAAACTAAACATAGTTAAAAACTATATTAGTATATCAAAGACGAGCTGAAAGATCTCAGGCAACTGAATTATTCTTTTCTTTTTTTGCGAAGTGAAGAGTGGGGGGTGGAATTCCTTCTTGTCCAGGCCGAGAATTTTCAGCGCTCACTTGTATCTTTTGAAGTGGTGGTGAATCAGTGAAATAACTGAAAAGATTCATGTGTTTATTCATTGACCTTACAAGGGAGGTAATTATAGCTTTCAAGGGAGATAAACAGCTTTTTTGTTGGCCATAAATCTTAAGTTGCTTTTTCCACATCCACTTAAATTTAATAAAGTAAAAGAAAAAACAAAAAGATTAAGATGAAAAAATTTGTTAAAAGCAAAGAAAAGAGTACTCAACAGATATGTAATATCAATCTTCATTTATGGCAGTGAATGCTGGACAATTTCCTCACAAATGCAGATTACATTTGAAGCAAAAGTGAAGTGTATATTCTCATGGAATCAAATGGTTTTTTTTCTTCTCTTTACATTTTTATAATTCACCAAAGTATTAAAACTGATGGGCAAGTCCTGATGAACAGAAAATATTGTGGTGCAATACAAGTAATTAGAAAAGCATAGTAAAATGTGAATAGTTTTTTTTTTCAGTGATGCAACAACTGCATTTTTATCACAGGAATCTCACATTAAAATCCCTTAAAAAAAGAAAAATAGACATAAAAAATAATAAAAAAAGTTTCTGGATTTCTCATCAACCTGAGTGCCAACACAGACCACACACTTAAAAAAAAAAGGCTATCCAAGTTGACTGCAATGGTCAACTCAAGCAGAATGCAATGGAACCCTGTGCTACAAATGAGCTAAAATATAACTATTTATATGGAATTATTAATAGATTGTAGCCTGAACTCATCATAAAATCTAAAGTATGTAAAATCAGTACATGTAATGAGGTTAACTGATGAACATTTGAAAGTAATTCTCTTGTTTCTCTAAGAGAACAGCTTTTTAATGGCTTTTTTAAAATTTTATTTTACAGCATTTTTTAACAGCTTTTTTTAATGCCAGTTAATCTGGTCTCTGGCGAAGGTCAGTTTAACAGATGGTCCCCATTTCATACATAGTAGGTAGAAGCAAAAGTTGAGATGCTTAAGGCACTAACCTTTGCCTTCTTTCTTGGTGCAATGGCAGTGAGGCAGCCTAGCAATGCCCTCCTGGAGCTGAGCATGTTTAATAACCCCAACCATGAATGACTGTGTTTCTAGCAGAAAGTTACTAATTAACCCATAGTTTGGGTTAAATTTTACAGAAGTGTGAGAAAAGCCCTTCTAAATCCTTGATTCAGCATTGCTTTTATTTATTATATTCTTACTGACTTTTAAGTCTGATGGCAGCCAGAATTCTGTAAGTAGGTCAAATACAACTTATGCAGGTGTTGTGACAGTTTTTGAACTCATTACCTTGCTGCCTTTCAGTGACCTTTCAATATGGGAGCTGGCTAAAGAAACAAAAAAATAAATAAGGTGTCTTGAATTTTGGCAGATTTGTGACTTAAAATAATCAAATCCTTGGACTTTTAAAATAATCAAATCCTTGGACTTTTAAAATAATCAAATCCTTGGACTTTTAAAATAATCAAATCCTTGGACTTTTAAAATAATCAAATCCTTGGACTTTTAAAATAATCAAATCCTTGGACTTTTAAAATAATCAAATCCTTGGACTTTAGGGATCTTATGAGAACTGGTGTTTCAACATGATATGGCTGTAATTTGTGGAAACCTCATGTTTAAGATGTTTACTGTGATCATTTACTGATTGGCCAATTGCATTCTGCTTGATGATTGGTCAAAAAATGAATTATTAATATTTGTAATTGATAGATGAATTCCATTTGGTGAAGAACATATTCCCTACTGGCACAAATCTCTAACATTAATAACTCCAATCATGTACTTTAAGATTCATTGGTAAGCTAAATAGGAAAGGCGGTACTTGTAAAGTGATTGTGAGCAAGCTAGTCTGATAAAACTGCTTGTGTATTAAATTTGATCTTCATCAAATTGTCCTCTATTGAGAATTTGTGCCTACTAAGTTGACCAAATGTGCACAGAATATCTCTTTCAGAGAAATTATTCTTGCAGATCATTTACTACAGTAGTCATTTTGATTCTAATCATTGTAGTTGTAGCAGAAACAAGATGGAGAATCAGCTGCCTACCACTACTGATAATGGTATCACCCCTGTCAGTCAAAGAGACAATGTTTAGTGTAATGTCTCTTCCAAAAGAGAAAGCAAATGGCAGCTTTGTCAAAAGAGAGCCAATGCTCAACCTGAGACATCTGCTTATGAAGAAAGAAAGTATCTACCAGCTTCCCCATGAAATAGTTGAGACAGTGAGCCAATGCAAAGGAATCCTTTTGCTAGCCAACTGCTAATGTTTTGTGATCCATAAAAGCAGGTACATTATCAGAGAAGTGGCAGGTTGGTAGAGCACTGTGCTGAATATATAACATGATTGCCGTGCATTTCCAAGGATTTTAGTCCATGTTACCCAGAGTCGCCTGAAATTCATTTGTCCTTGGTTGTGTTTCTGGTGTCTCAGTTACATTCATCCCTTACATGTGGTGTTCCTGCATGGTAGTCTTGTTTGTGCACTGCTTATTGTGATTCAGTGTTTGGCTCTTTCAGTGTTTGATTCTGATGTTGCTGAGTTATTTTCTGTCCCTCCCGAGTTGTGACATGCCTCTTTGTTGGCAGATACCCAACCAATAAAATGAAAATCCTTCAGTGGTTATATTTCATTATTTCCTCTTCAGGAAATATGCAATCATGGCTCTCCACAATTTCTTCTTTTTTTTCTTTATTCCTTATGAACTGTCATTACTCCTGAGAGTCGTTTCCTATTGCCTTGGAATTCAGACTTGAAATCCTCCAAGACTGGGCTTCCAACCCAAGGTTTGGAAGCCCAAACTGTCTTGCTATTTAACCTATAGTCCTAGAAGAGATGGATTCATGCCTTTCCTAAGGGCATTTGTGCAGAAGTGAATGCAATCAACTAGGTTGAAATTTGAAATTGGCTCTCCAATCCCACTTTATGTGCTACTAACCATCATGAACCTTCAGGACGTATGTGATCATGTTCTTCATTAATTATGAATTACCAGGCATTCTTGGGAAAGACAGCAGAGTGGTTTCCTGTTGACTTCTCTGCATTTTGGCATTCAGAATTGTCCTTCTCTTAGACTGGTTGCCACCCAAGGCTAGAGAGCACAATCTACCCAGTTAATCATTGAGATTTGGGGAGAGACTGATTCATACCTTTCCCAATGGGATTAGAGTGAAAGTGAATGCAACAAACTAAACCAGAATTTGAACTTGGCTCCCCAAATCCCCTTTCTGTGCTAATATCCATTACTCTTACTCAAGCATAATTATCTTGTGCAGTAAATATTTATATGAGGGTGGATCAAAAAATCAATAGTCTGACAGTTTTTAGCTCAATTTTGATCTGAACTTTTCACTGTATAATGTTTTATTTATTCACCACTGAATTAAGCACACTAACAAAGAAAGAGGTTGTGTAAAAAAAAAAAAAAAAAAAAAAAAATTATTAAACTTGTTAACTCTGCTGACCCTTGTACTACCAAGGATTAAACTCACCATGATTGGCTAACAAATGTCTGAAGAAATTAGACTCCTACTTCTCAGCTTAATGAATGTGTTCTAAGCAGTAGCAGGTTTGTCTTCCTTCCTACCAAAGTGGATTTAACCTTTATTGAAATTTCTCCTCAATGAATATTTTTCTATTCTCCAGTGAAGTGTTGTCACTCAGTTTATTGAACAAGATCCTGTTTTATAAATACTTTTTTTTTCTTTTTTATTATTTATTTCAAGAACTAATTTTCTGTGGCCAGGACTGGAATCAGGAATGCTGTTAACATTTTAATACTAACACGTAGTTGAATATTAAAAGCTGACAACCACTCCTAAATCCAGGCTTGGCTACAGAAAATCTTTTAAGGAAAAATCCCACAATAGTCTAGGCAGCTACTGTCTGCCATTTATTCATTTTTTTATTTATTTTATTTATTAGATCTTTTAGCAGTTGACTTACTGGCCAAGCTCTCTATCATATGTGTGTGTGTGTATATGTGTATATATATATATGAACTAATAACAAAAGGGGTGGTGACAGATACTTACAAAGTAAATCCAGCTGGAATAAGTAACATTATGGCTGCGACAATGAATATAAATCCAGTATAGAAACGCAATGTGCTAGCATAGATCACGGTAAATATCAGAGGAGCAAGGAAATGGATCAGACTTTCTCCACAATGCATCAAAGCAAACAAAGAACCTACAAAAGAGAAGAATAAAATGAGAATTAGCAGAAAAAAAAACAAATGTATTTTATTATTATTATAATAGTAATAGGACAGTGGCCTTGATGGTGTCATGGAATGTCATTTAGCAATTTGAGGTAATGAGAAAGTCAATTTGAAGTGAAGGAATAAAAATACTAAGTGGGGGAAAAAGTATGGAAGATTAGTTGATCAGATAGGAAGCTGACAGAAGAAGCTTTGATTTAGAAATATTAACCAGAGCCTATAAAATTTTTATGAGGAAGGCATCAGTAGGATTTGAAACCAAAATAAACCTAGTAAGATTTATTAAATTCAGTACAACTGAATTTTTCCTACCTCACTTCATCCCCTGGGAAGTTATGACATAATTATTTTTCATCATTTCACCCCAAATACGGTGATAATACCACTATAACACAAGGGGTTAAAATGAGAGTGAAAGAGGATGAGAAGACTTTAGGAGAAGGAGAAGGAAATGGAAACCCAATCCTAAACAGGAAACAAGGGATAAACCTCTACTCCTGTTCAAAAGACTCAGAAGGAGTGTGAACTGGATGATAGGTGAACCTATGTATGTGCCCATGTGAGTAAGAATTCTTGTATAGTTTTTTCTTAAAAAAAAATGAAAAACAGTGAAATTGACATCTACGGGCCTGGGCAATTGAAAGTATTATTTAAGAATTATCATTATTTAAGAAAATGTTCCTCTTGGCAAGGATTGAACTTGCACTCCGATTTATCTTAAGAAACCCATTTCAAGTCAGGTGTGCTTAGTTGTTCAGCCATGAGAGACCTCAGAGTAAAAGTGCATATCTTAATAAGGTGAATTAATCCTTAACCCTAGAATACTAACCATGAGTATATAGTACCCAGCTCAAATTTTCCTATTTTTAATTACAATTTTCAGTACCTGATTTTCTTACCTAAATGATGTGTTTTTCAGTTCCTATTAATAATAACTCAAAATACAAAGTTTGAAGTGCCTGCATGTAAAATATTTCAAATAAAGTTTTATATTTAATAATTTTTTTTTGATATTTTCAAAATTGGGTATGATATACCCATGGTTAGTAGTGGTGTAACTTTAATTGATGGTTAGTGTTCTAGAGTTAAGAAATGCACATCTTTTATTGGGATATTTGGAAGCTTCTAGATCTGTTTTCAAAGCTGAAAAGTCATTTCTAAGCAGTTTTTAATCCAACCTTATTACTAGAAACCCACTAAATATAACATTTCTAGTAAGAAATAAAGTTGGATTAATAAAAATTCATTGCTTTTGTTTTTTGTTTGTTTTATGACATATCAACTTTTTTATGTTATTTTATACTGAATTTTGTTCTTTTGATAAACAACAGATACATCTGGTTGGCATGTGTGTCAGAGAAAAAGAAAAAAGGTAGACAAGGAACAGCAAAGAGGTGGCCACTTTTGCAGGGCAGTTCTACACTTCTGCACACAGATGCAGTGTCCATATTATTGACCCACCCGACTAACACTGCTGCATTAATTGGTTAAACAAGTACACATTATTATTTACAATTCCTCCTTAAGACAATGGGCTTCCATTTTGTTATTTTGGTTTTTAACAGAGACAAGAACACTTCCTCACCTTATGAGAGAATAGATATATATATATATATATATATATATATATATATATATATATATATATATATATCTATGTATGTATGTATGTGATGTGTGTATGTAAAAACAGTAAATTTTTTTACTATTACCTTCAAATATTACTCCATCTTAATTTGAAACCTAAACTTTAATTAAGAAATATTACCCATCTAAAAATAGCTTCAAAGTCATAAATTAGACTAACTGATAAAGATTTTACCATAACAGTCATTCACAATATTAAAATATTACTATTAGTAAATTTTTATTTTTTTATATTTGTTTATAAATATATTATTCGGTTTATATTAAATCCCTAATTTATTTGTGGAGAAGTTAAATATTTAAATTGCTAACAATCATTAAATTTAATTTCTTTATGGAGTTTTTAAACATTTAAATTACTATCAAATGTTAAAATCTATACCACTCCTCCCCTTCCTCTAACACTACATTAATCTCTTATCCCTTTATTTCCCCACATTTTTTTTCTTTTCCCCTTTTTTCTTTTTCTTTTTTTCTTATATCATTTCCGTTGAGTTGACCAATTAAATAGGTCAATGTCTGATCCTTACCCCCGTCTTCCTCAATATTAAGTATTGTAATAAAAATGAATTTTAAAACTCTCCCTTCCCTCTCTAAACTCGACCATATCTCTCACACTATTCCTCACTA